TCTTAAGGCCCATTCAACCTCACTCCTCAGGATGTCGGGTTCTAATTCATTCACCACACCGTCAAAACTATCCTCAATATTATTATCCTTCCTATACAGATCTTCTGTATAGTCTCGCCACCTTCTCTTGATCTCTTCAAGGGTTGCCTTAGGATTGCATTAAGTCTGAAACAGCTTGAAGGCATACAACAACAGCAACCCTAATTAATCATTAATTATACCTTACTTGGAAATTGAGCTGCTAAAACCTATTTGTGGTCCAGGAGGAGGCCTATTTAATTTCAGCCCCATACTACTCCAGTGTTGTGCAGACCTGCCCTAGATGTTGATTGTGGTTTGTAAGGCACATGGCCTGGAACCCCTATGCTTTAATTGTTAAGAAGTCCAGAATATGCCATCTTGCTTTGCATATTGGTCATCTGCAGAAAAGGGGAAATCGGTAAAAATGCACAACACTGAATCAGCCCACTTATAACACACATATCTACATTGATAACCAGTGTAACAGAGTAGCTAGAATGTTTGGATGGATTGGAAAGAACTGGATCTTTGCTCAGGGGCAGCAAGTAAGAACATTCTGGGGGGAAATAATTGGGAGTGGGCCCATAAGCTTACTGGGGAACACCTCGGCAAGAATATTGTTGGAGTCTAGTCAGTTGTGGTTTTCCAGAGGTTACATAAATATGGTGACATAGCTCCTTGTACCACCTAGAGAGGCAAGTGTAACCCAGAGGCTTATGTGGAACAGCATAAATGTTTCACTTGTAGAAACCAGTGAGAGACTGGCAGGTTCTGCTAGTCTTCTTGCCTATATAACATTAGATTTTCCTGGCATTGAATGGGTATAATGCAATTTATAAATCAGTTCCAACTTTTAGAGGGAGGGAACGAACCCTGAAAAGTGAAGCTCTCTGGCCATTGTGAAGGTTATCTGATATGTCTTTCATGCTTCATCAACAACAACAAAAAGACACTATGAGGAAATTGGTTCTTAAACATTGACTTCCTTCTACGTCATGGGTATCTTGTGTAACAAGTTACTGGGAAGCTCCTAGTCCACAAGGAATGTGTCCATATTAATAATATAAGCAGTAAGTAGGTACATCCAAGTAGGCATACATACTCCTCTGTTCTCCATGTATATGAAAACATTTGATATGATTTCATGGTATATATTGTACTTTTAACAGGGGTCAGTGGTTTTTTCAAATGTGTGTTTAAAATAGTACACTATCCTAATTTCTGGGAAAGAAAACTCTTTAATAATTGGCTTATTATTAAAAATAAACAAATGTTTCTTTCCTTTTTAAAATCACAAAATATGAGCAAATATTTTTCTTCAGAAACGTATTACTAAGGCGAATACATTTTTCTGTGAGAATTGTTTTTGTCACCATGAAGAAATTATCAAATTGGAAGTTTTTGCAATCATGCTTTCATGGTACATTGTGTTACTTGCCTTTTGTATTTTGAACACAAAGATTGAAACAGTATCTTCCCACAAACAAGTTGTTCCTATAATTCAAGCTCTCAGAGTGAGAAATACACGTTTTAATCAGCTTTCCACTGTGATATATTTCAGTTTTTGCAAACTGCCAAATGCAGGTTTATTTTTTTTTTTCAAATTAAGGCACTTATTACTTGAGAGAAGTATTCCTTGGGGAAAACAGCTCAGAAAAGAAGCCTCAATGTCATATTTTTTCAATAGCAACACTCAGAAACTTTGCTTACCTTGTAGCTGTTGGAGAAACGATTGGGGACTGCAGGGGACAGTCCCACATCATTTATCCTATGTGAGTCCAAGTCCTATGTGTCAAAGTCTGTAGATGGTCTGTGTTTTGCAGGCATACAACAGAGTTAAAAGGACAATACTTATATAAACAAGAATCTTGGTATCCCTATGAATGTACCAATCCTCAAATTCAGTCTTGACTTCCAGAAAGATTCAGTCAGTGTTGCGTCTGAAAAATCCTAAAAATCTCTTGGGAAGACAGATGGACAAATGTCAACATTCTGGAAGAAGCAAAGACCACCAGCACTGAAGTGACAATCCTCCACCATCAACTTCGCTGGACCAGCCACATTGTCTGAATGCCTGATCACCATCTCCCAAAAGCGGCTACTTTACTCTTAGCTCAAGAATGGAAAACAGAATGTCAGTGGTCAGCAAAAGAGATTTACAGTTGGGCTTAAAGCTAACCTTAAATGTAGCATAAACACTGATAACTTAGAAGCCCTGGCCCTCATGCATTGTAACTGGAGGTCAGCTGTTACCAGCAGGGTTATGGATTTTGAAGAGGCATGAATAGAGGGTGAAAGGGAGAAACGTGCCAAGCGGAAGGAGCGTCAAGCAAACTGTTGCCTTCCATCTGAAAATGTATGTGCTCATTGCAATGTACCATGTGGATCCAGAATAGGTCTCTACAGTCACTTATGGACCCACCACCAGTACTCTACTTCTGGAAGACAATTATACTCGGCCATGAGAGACTGCCTGTGATGATGATGTGACAAAGTACCAATTGAAGTAGTAGTGCACACACGGTACATTTTTATAGAAGAGTCCCTGCTGGCTCAAATCAATCTGCATCTATTCTACCATTTCACTTGTAAAATTTAGAATTGTATGGACTTCTGTCTTTCCTGTTATATGTCCCCTCTCCTCAGAAATTGATGTTCAGAGCTTCAATTTATTCCTAGGATACAGGTATTAATAGCCTAAAACATTATTGCTAGTCAAGTAAGGATGAGTGGAATAATTTACATCTGTATCAATATCATAACTCAGTTCTTGTGGGTTTTTTCGGGCTATATGGCCATGTTCTAGAGGCATTTCTCCTGACGTTTCGCCTGCATCTATGGCAAGCTTCCTCAGAGGTGAGGTCTCACCTCTGAGGAAGCTTGCCATAGATGCAGGCGAAACGTCAGGAGAAATACCTCTAGAACATGGCCATATAGCCCGAAAAAACCCACAAGAACTGAGTGATTCCAGCCATGAAAGCCTTCGACAATACAATATCATAACTGTTTATATAGTTGTGAAGGTGAATTTTGCTATTGATCAAATTATCCCAGCTGTGAAGGGATACTTCTGTAAATGACTTCTTAAATAATCAGTTGAACAGCTTTAGATATGTAAATATTGAATAATGTGAACAGCACAAGAGAAATGCAAGTGTCCACATTGTTTCTATGGAGTATTTATCAAAATCTTTTCAGCTTCTAGGTATAACTCTGTCCTAATCTCTGCCCTTAACTCTAGTTCTCTGACACCACCTAATGGTCAATGGTAGATTGTGAGTCAAAGTGTATAAAAGTATTTTCCAAGTACAGCAACAGAGCCTGTCCTGTGAATATTGTGTGAACACTGATGGTTTTAATCTGGCAGAAAATAAGATGCATATTTTTTACAATGAAAATGTACCATATTTGATAAAGTAAAACCTTTCCTTTCCATCCTCTTTTATACATAGCGTTGGTGTGCTTTTTGCCTATGTTGCTAACCAACACCTCACAAGTCAAGTCCGAGGAGCAAAGAAATTGGTGAACAGTAATTTCAAAGACCTGAAGACTTTCCTAAATGATACTCCTGCGGTAAAGTGACACATTTTCCCCAAATATAGAGAAACTTGAAATTATTATCTTCAAAATGTGTGGCACTGTAGTTTAGAACTGCTTCTCTGCCTTTAATTTTTAATTTAATTTAAACTCCAGATCCATGTATTATTTGCTGTTCTAAATGTAGAGCAGACTCTGGAGGCAGAGTGATGACTATAATGCTTTTTAAAGTTTAGACGTTTCAAATCTATGGCTAAAACTCCCTTAAGCATGATTTACCTTGAGATCTGAATCTGATGCAGCATATTTTTCAATTTCTTCTAGTGGCCTTCAGCTTTTCCAGACATATAATACCTATTCTAACTTAGCCCTCTAATATAGAATAAGTGCTTATTTTCTATCATGCACTTCATTTTTTGTAAGTTATCCATATCATTGCTTGTTTGCGTTGTTCTCTCCCCCTTCTTTTTTGCTTGACTTTAGCACACATGTTTTTGCCTTTTACAAAACATGCACACTTATGGCCATTTGGAGCATAATATTAATTGTTTTTTCCATATATGTTGGAGAGGAATACACGGGCAATTGAATTTTTCTGTACAAACAAGTTATACTTGTGTATGTTGTAGAATACATTTGCAAAATTATTGAAACATCTGTATCAAAGGATGTTTTAAAGAGGATGTGACTGAACCTTCCAGTAAGGATGCTATTCCTCCCATACATATTGCCTCCTAAAATGTCTGGTGTAATGAACAACATAATACAAAACTGTATCCAGGAAATGTGATTCAAAATCCCATTCAATAAAGAAGAGGATGTTATATGACTTTCTCTTTAAGCCTAGTGTACTTCACTGAGGCAACTTAAATGAGAGTTAACTAGAATTGACCTTATGTCTGAGCAGAATAATCTAGGATTGTGTGTTAAATGGTTGTGAAGGTAAAACAGTATTGTGTTAGAAATGGAAAGAATATTTGAATGTTTTTAAATGATTAAAATAACAGCTTTCTCAAACAAGGAAAATCCTAGATGGACAAGAATTCTTGCAATTCAGGACTTATTTTGTGTTGCAATGCATGTGGGTTTTTTTTGTGTAGGAAATTACTTTTATTGAATATAAAGCTCAGTTGGTGCTAGACTTTTGATATGTTTTAATCGTGTCCAAGACTATTGTAATTGATATGCATATGGTTTTTTTTACAGTTTTATAATACTGTGTCCAGGGGTGGGTAGGGTGGGGTATAATTACAGTAAACAAACAAACAAACAAACATAATGTAAGTTTTCTGCAGGAAAAAAAAATGAAAATGTTTTCTGTATAGGGAACTTGTTTTCTGTGTGAAATAATCACATGCATTTTAAGACATAGAGTAAGTCCTAAACTGCCAATCCTCAAAACTGTAAAGTATTTTATGAGCTTCTTACATTGAAGGAGAATTTTGAGTTCCTTTCTCTTCAGTGAAGGAGTGAGTCATTCCTTGTACATGTCCTTGTGTATAACTCTAGAAAATTTATTTTAAAATCAACCCCAAAACCTGAATCAGCTTATCCACAGGTTAATATAAGTAATGCACTTTAATTCTTATATTAAAAAAGGAACCATCTCCTTCTCTGAGTACATCGATGAAAGGCAAGAATAGTTAATGTCAACTATCCCTGCAGAACCTAGGATAGTTGACCATGGTGCTACTGCTAGCTATTTTGAATGCTTGGGTGGGAAAATGGCAGTGGTGGCAAGAAGTGGTGGTCCCCTGATGCATCACTGGTGCTTTCCCATCTCCATGGGATAACCCTTGACTTCTCCATTAAAATCCATAATTCTGGGCCCCAAACTTGCCCTTGACTTATACATCAGTAGCAAGGTACAAATACAGATACAAAACACATACAATTTTGTTTTTGTATGGTTGATACTGGAAGCTAATGTTTACTTTGTAAGGTCATGTAGGTCCAGAACTGCCATAAAACTTTGTTCCTAACCCAGTCTCAGACAAGTGGCTCAGAAAAACAATGTAAACTATAGTATTAAATGCCATGAAGAAGTTCAGTGTACTCTCTGCCACTCAACTGCCCCCCGCTCCATGGAGAGCAAAGGTATTGAAGTGAATTGGGAAATCAGATGGTAAAGGAACTAGACAATTGGCACAACAAGTTATATGTTATTATTACTATATGTTAGGTTTTATATTTGTGTGAGGCATTACATTTTGCCATAAATATGTTGGAAACTGCTTTGAGTCCCCCTCTCAGTTGAGAAAAGTGGTATACAAGTGAACTAAACAAATAAATACATAAATAAATACATTTAGCTGCCACTTACACACTCACATGTTTTTATACTAAATTGGTGGTGGTGGGGGAGGGGGGGAGGCTTTAGTCTAAATCTGATAATTTATTCCAACCCATTTAATCAGTAGAACTTACAGGGATGTGCCAAGTTCCCATTCAGTAGGTCTCCTGTAATTAGGATTAATTAACCATTAGGCAATTAAATATAGTGTGAAGGGTTTGTTTTTAAGACTATTGCTATGTTTCTGTTGTGAGTCATCTTTAAATAAAATATAACTTTCATTTCTCTTTAGCAAATTGATTATTTGGTGAGTCAGTATAACACTACCAAGAAGAAAGCACTTTCTGATCTTAACAGTAAGTTTATTCAAATTGATTTTCTTCAGAATTTTAGACAAGCTTGACTGCAGAATACCGTACCTGGAATGTGCATGCAAGTCTCCCTTCCATTCTCCCCATCTTTCTCTCTCCCTCTGCTAAATAAAAATAACGAGTACAATAAACAAGAATTAAGTAGTAGGCTTTGACCTAAACTGAGCTGCTAACCGAGATGTGACATGAATATATGATTGTAATTAGATTAATACAAGGAAGTATACTTTGCTTTTATGGCATTGTTTAACTCATGTTCTACTTAATTGTCATCAGAAAATTAAAAGTATTCTCTACTTTTAAAAGGATTTCCCAAGTGGGCCTTTTGAAGGGCCTGAAAGTATTTTTTTTAAAAGTTCACCACTTTGTGCACATAATGAATGGCTTTGATGTGAGACAGAAAGCGGAAATCACAATTCTTGTGCATCATTCATATCATAATAATTTCCACTGCTTGCCTTTTGATCTGGATTTCATCAAGCTTACATCAACATTTTGAAATGAAAACTAGTTTAAAAATATATCGGTCACCATCCAAATAAGATGTATCTTGGATAGAATAAGGTATCTGGAGAACCATAGCTATAGCAGTGGTTCTCAACCTGTGGGTCCCCAGGTGTTTTGGCCTTCAACTCCCTGAAATCTCAGCTAGTTTACCAGCTGTTAGGATTTCTGGGAGTTGAAGGCCAAAACATCTGTGGATTGACAGGTTGAGAACCACTGCTTTAGAGGGTCAATCACCTATCACCTAATCCATGAAATATTAGTTTCTTTTATAAAGGTGAAAAAGTTGTCTTGTGTTTTGGACTGATCCCCTGCTCAGCCTTGGAAACCTACTGAGTGACCTTGAACAAGTTATACTCTTTCAGTCTCAGAGTTATGAAAGGCATTTTGCCTGAACAAATCTTTTCTAGGAAACTTCATAATTGGTTCACTTTAGGTTTGATACACCATAAGTCAGAAACAACTTCAAAGTATACAACAATGAAATAGGAGAAAAATGTAGAAGATTCAACTTTTGTAGAGAATTAAAATTGCTTTAGGGTTGCTTTAATATCAAAACTGAGTACTGACAGCAAAAATAGTTAAAAAAACAAAAACAAACATAAATTTAGAATTTAATATTTCAAGTTAAAGTTTATAAAAACAAGGTTTTAGGGGTTTTTGTTAGAGTATGTAGCTTTACACAATACAAAGATGTCCAGCTATATTAACCATTCATTTGAATTTGAAGATTTTTCTCCTGTGCCTTTTCCAACAGATGTTGGCCCAACACTTGGCAGTAGAGTCCAAGAACAGCTCGCAAGGGAAGTCCGCCCTGCACTTGATGCAGCCCTGACCATAGCAGGAGGTAAAGGGGAATTTATTCTTACCAGTAGCCGTCTTACTTAATCTCCTAAATTTCTGCTTTTATAATATGGCTGAGATCTAGAAGGACTGAACAATAAATCCCAAACACCCTTGGGCTGCCTTGTTTATTTCTTGAAAAGGAAACTTCTCTGCTACATAACATGTCCTTGAATTTAAATGTCTTTAAAGTATTTGTTATTAAATAGCTTTGTCATGTTTCAATTAGAGTCATGGAGCACAACTAACAAAATAGATTCACAGGGTCTTTAAAAATCCTTTTGTTCTTCCTACCCACTTTCTAGTTGCTTCCTCACATTAGTTGTTGAAGGGGATTGTGAACAATTAGCTGAAGAGATGAGATGGGAGGAATGTGGGCAAAAAAAGAGTTAAGCAACCCACTTCCACTTGCTGTTTCTTCCCTGCTTTGGAACCCAATGCTTTTGAACTTTTTGGAGTCTTCTGTTCCCAACCTCAAGTCATTCAGAAATGTACTTCCAGCCATTATCTAGATCAAATGTGGGGAAAGTGCTGCCTTTGGGCTGCAATGAACCCCTGGGGGCCTTGAATGTTATTCTCCCCAACTTCTCTAGAGACCCCTGAAGCCCCAAATGGGAAGAAATCCAGGTGATGTCCCACTAGCCCTCACAACCACAAGTAGATATTGGCCATATTTCAATTTTTCTGAGAAGGTTACATCAATTCTTCTTATACCAAGAAGAGTCATGTGTACTAAGGGAACGAGGAAGGGTAAATTGTCCCCTGGTGTCTCTGAAATTTCCCATCCCTGATCTAGATAAGATCAGACAATGCAATTTGTGATGGATTGTAGCTGCTAATGTGTAGGCAGGTGGGATGCCCCAATGTCAAAAGTAGGAAATGTGTGTTGACAACTGAAAGTGTTTGCATACCTCACCAAAACATTTTCTCATCGTCCACTCTTTGCTTTATTTCTCTGTTTGTCTTGAAGTCAAAGTGGAAAGGGCCATTAAAGGTAAAATATCTTGAATGCATTGTGTGATGTGCTCCCTTCTCTTGCTTAAAACCTTTTTTGTGGTTTGTTCTGTTGTCATATCTCCTCTTGTGGTTCAAAATTGATTGCTTTGGCTCAATAGGCTAAAACCCCAAAGTAAAGCTTAAACTAATTTCTGGCTGCAATCTATAACTTGTTTACTGTCAGGATAAATCCTATTAATGTGAATACAGCTGAGGTAAACAGGTTGTTCATTGAAGCAATGGTGCTTGTAATCTGTGGGTAGCAGCATGTTCCCACTCAGTTCAATACAGCAGAATACGTGGAAGTAAAGACAATCTCACCATTTATCCAGGCAAGAGCCTGATATTTGCCTCTGTTGTGAAGGATTTTTTTTTTTGGATATTTCAACCAACTGAGCAAAAGGGAATGGAAATAAATGCAACAGTTTTAGAGGACTTATTTTGTGGGCTTTTTTCTGGCTCATTTTGGCCTGATTTACATAAAATACTCAACAGTGTATTTATTTTGTAAATTATTTATTTTATTGATACCCCACTTTTCTACTGGCACTGAACTTGAGGTGGTTAATAGTAAAACAAAACAAAATATAGTTAACAAGCTATTATAAAAATGAGAAACAATCAATAAAAGAACAAAGATAAAACAGTTTTCACATTTAAAAAAGAGATAAAAGCACAACACACCATGTTACTAAATTATTTTACCCCTTGAGATCAGTCCAATCATCTAAATAAAAATCTTTTCCTGCTTGAGGAAAGAGGGAAAGGCAGTAAAACCTGTGAGGGGGAGGCCCCCAGCCTGGGAACAGCCACTGAGGAGGCTCTCTGCCAAATCCTCAGCAGACATGCCTGTTTAGAATAGTTAATGTCAACTATGGTTTGTTACCCTAACCTTGGTTAACAGCTTTCAATGTCCAATGGGATGGTATCTAATTCAGATAAACAATACCACTAGACGAAGTCATATAGGAGGAAATAATACTGCTACCTCACAGCTGGAAATGCTGGAAGTTGAGAATATCTATATCTATAGCTTCATATCTAATCTTGTAGTCAATCCTTAATCATGGCTTAGCATTTAGATGTTACACTTAACAATGACTAAAGAGAACAACATTAAAAAGATTGAATATGCGAGACAATACAGTCAAATGTTTGCTCTTCCAACTTAGCCCTTCATACTTAGATAGACACAGGCCTTTCTCACATTTCTGCTTCCATAAATAGACATTGCAATACACATTGCAATATATTAGTGGTTTGAAACCATTGCACATGCACACAAATCTTTAAATTCAACTTTTGCCATATCTGTTTGCCAACCAAGAAGCAAACACCTATGGAGGAAATAGACCTAATCAGTAAGCTTGCTGGCAGGTGGTTAGTAGGAGGGGTGTCTATGCCTCCGTGTACTGCTCTTTGGTTGTTTTGGTAAGTGGCCTTCTGGGAAACTCTGTTGCTAGTTAGATCTGTAGTGATAGATAGTTTGAGTGTGACTAGAGTTTCCTTTCAAGATTTTGCTTTCCTACAGTATGGCCACTTCACTTTGATAATAGTTTTTTCAAATTATGTATTTTCTCCTTAGATGATTTACATTGTCGGTCTAATTAAGCCATTGTATTAAATTTGGTTTAATTTCTTTTGAAAACCACTGTAGCTATTAGAGAAACAAAGGAGGCGCTGGAGAATGTAAGTGTTTCCGTGGAGGTCTTGCAGGAAGGAACTGAGAGGCTGCATGGCAACCTGACAGAAGTCAAAGGACACCTGATGAACACACTTAATGATTCGGCCTGCACAGCTGTTCAGGCTGCTTCAACTTGCAATATCATTAGGAATTCGTTAAATCAACTAGACATCAATGCCAACTTCAGCAAGGTAAACTTAATATATGTCAGTTCTACACAGTGGTCTAAGTCTTTCTTAGTGATCAGGTTATTAGTTCTTCATCTTGAAGGTAGAGCACTTCATGACTAAGTGTTCTTCTATATCAGAACATTTATAGACATCTTTTGACCCTCCAGATGTTGTTCAACTGCAGTCCCATCAGATTCAGCTACCATAGCCAAATGGAGTCACTTTCTTCATCCTGGAAAACACTAAAACAACATTTATCTAACATCACAGTGATTTCTGGGCCAACATGATGCTTTCTGATTCAGCTTGTTTAGTGTTAGTTTTTAAAAACTCCCTACAGAAAATCTGATTTCCCTGCTCAGAAACCTTACATGTCATGGAATATTTGGATGCACATACTCTCAATGATATACTGTTTATACTCATATATAAGTCAACCTCATGCATATATCGAGGCCTGATTTGGAGACCATCATTATGGATTATGATATCACCCATGGATATATGGAAAGTCATTCTGCAGAGAGGGAAAAGTGCCAGAGCTGCCTCAGAGGACAAACTGCTCCTGTCCCCCGCTGCCATTTTTTCCACCCAGGTATTCAAAACACGCAGAAATGGCATCAGGTGGAGAGAACAGAAGGGGTTGTTGCTTCTTTTAGGTCCTCCTGGAATGGACTGTACTGCTTCTTTTCACCACTCTTCCCAGAGAAAATATTGGCTCCTTTTTTTGAGAAGACCAATATTTTTAGACTTATATATGAGTATATACAATAACTCAAGGAGATGATAGTAGATATTTCAGAATGATTATTCAAGGTTTACAGCATTTCCTTTCTTTTGTTGATAAAATAAAAAGAGACTGCTATTTGATCTGTTTCCTAACCATGAGAGTGAATAAGTTTTGAAAGAAGAATGAAGACTAGAGTCAAGTGGAAGCAGCACAAGGATTAAAAGACATTTTCACTTTCTCACACATTTAAAATATATTGTGCCTTCGCCATAAAGCACCTTGGAAAGTGTTGAGATTAACTTCACAGTTCAGCAGCAGATCAGTTGCACAACTTCAGGGCTTTCCAGTAGCTTCTTCCTGCACAGCTCTTTTCAGTCAACTGCTCCCACAGCCTGCAGCCA